GTCAACAATAAATTTTTAAAAATAAAAATTTTAAAAAGGCGAAAGGAGGAAACAGTGGTCAGCGTTTGTTTTGTAGCGGGTGGTTAAAGGGGCAGCGCACCCTGAGCCGCGAGTGTGTCAGTGCTTTTACTATATGTTAGTGTTATTTTAGGTTTTATGTATTATTTGCTATGGTTTGGCAGGTTATTTTTTGGTTCTGGGAACGCCCCCCAATTTTTCCGTATAAGTGAATGGTAATTGCTTTGTTGCATGAGCCCATTTCAGCTCAGGGAAAGTTCCATGGGAATAGAATGCTCTACCTGAGGACAGCAGGCGAAACTGCTGCCTTTCAGCAAAGCACAGAGCATCCCCATCAAGCCTCGCTCCCTCCTCTGTCCTCGCTGCCCGTGCCCAGGCCCTGCGAGCCCTTCCTGCTCTCCAGGCCCATCAGCCTGACCCGGTCCTGCTGAGACTGCCCTTTCGGTTTCCCGACCCCAATCCCTTCCATCCTCTGTTCCCGGCAACCCCAGTGACACTTCTAGAAAGTCACTCTGCCCTGGCTGGTGTGGCTCAGTAGGTTGGGCGTCATCCCGTGCACCAAAAGGTTGCCAGTTGAATTCCCGGTTAGGGCGCATGCTCGGGGTGCGGGCCCAAACGCTGGTAAGGGGCCTGCGGGAGGCAGCTGATCCATGTTTTGCTCTCACATTGATGTTTCTCTCTCCCTCTCCCTGCCTCTCTCTTAAAAATCAATTTTAAAATATTAGTAAATAAAAGGCTACTCTGTCCAGGTTACCCCTGCGCTCCCCAACCGCCCCCTCCTTAGCCTGTAGTATAAGACCCCGTCAAGATCTGGCCTTGCTTTTCCTCTGCCCGCCGTTGCCTGGTCAGTCCTCTAGCTCTCCCGCCTCATCCAGTTCCTTGTAGCTAGCTCTTGGAACATGCCTTGTGCTTTTCTTGGGCAGGGGAGGGTAATTAAAAATGTTGACAATAGCCCGGCTGGTGTGGCTCAGTGGCTGAGCATTGACCTATGAACCAGGAGGTCACGGGCTCAATCCCCAGTAGGGTGTGCAGGGGGCAGCCAATCAATGATTCTCTCTCATCATTGAAATCAATGTTTAAAAATGTTGAATATACGTATTTTTTAATTTTAGAGGCTGTTTATTAAAGCTGGGAACAGTGAAACAAGAAAGAGCTGGAGAAATGAGCCTCGGTTGGCCTGCTTCGGCTCATTGAGAAGCCAGAGGGAAGGGGGCCTTGGGAACAGGCTTAGGGGGTTTGCCTGGATGAGCTGCCGCGGCCATTGCTGTCCTGGTTGCAAGCCGTGCGGGTCCCTTAGAGGTTAGGAGATGCAGGTCTGTGGGGAAGAAGGTGGGAGGCAAGGGCGCGCTCCTGGGAGGGAGGGCGAGGGAGTGAGAGAGAGCCGAAAATATATCTTTTTAAAATATACACTATCCTTTATTACACATTCTGTGTAGCTAATTCATTCTAACAGAATGATTCTGTTGATTTTTAAAATATATATTTTTTTATTGATTTCAAGAGAGGAAGGGAGAGGGAGAGAGAGATTGAAACATCCATCATTGATCGGCTGCTTCCTGCACGCCCCACACTGAGGATCGAGCCCACAATCTGGGCATATGCTCTGGCCGGGCAGTTGAACATATCTTTGTTCAGACAGTAAAATAACATTTTTCCTCTCTTGCAAAAGTTAATTACCAGCACATTCTAGTTTCTTAAGTAATAGGGTACACATAGACACAACCATATACAGTGTATTATTCTCCATCTTACATTTAAAAATACATGTTTCTACTTTAGTGTTAAAAGTGCACATTATTAGTAAGACCATAGTTACAAATAAAGCTTTGTCATCCAAAACGAAACTTCCAGATGGAAGAGGGTCTGGGTGGGGAAGGCCTTGAGAAACGTATTAAACACAGGAAAGGGGCCCCAATGCACGGTTTTAAGGACATTTTCTCTCTGAAATGGACATTTACACCCGATTTCCCTCTGCACCCCCATTTCTGGCCCTTGGCCGGTGGCAGGCAGACCTGCGGATGATGGGCACCGGGGGCTTCAGGCAGAAGCGACCCCTGCCAATCTGACCTCTCCAGCTCTTTCAGACTCGAAGAGGGGATGGAGGGGCCTGCACAGTGGGACTGTCCTGCTGGGGGCAGGCTTGCGGTCGAGACGGTAGACAACAGAACCCGAGGTCTTTTGGAGACAATCGACCCGCCTGCTCAGCTTGCGGCAGCAGGACAGCCCGCTGGACCGTGGCTCACCTGTGCATGCTCTGCCTGAGCCAGCCCTCCCCCAGCTGCCCCACAACACACACACTCTTTTATAATTAATTAAATTTTTTTTGAGAGTGAGAGAGAGAGGAAGGGGAAAGGGAGAGAGAAAACACACACACACACACACACACACACACTTCTTGACTTCCCGCCAAACTCCTCAACCGTCAAGATTCAGCTCAAATGTCACTGCTTTTTTTTTTTTAAATGTCACCCTTGCTGCCTCCACCCCAAACAGACAATGTTTCTCGTCCACTCTCACAGCAGCTGGTGACAGCACAAACCAGGGGCTGCAATTGTGTGAAGGGGTCCTCACTCACGACAGTGTAGCCCCTCCAAGTCCAATGTCATCGTGGCGGCTCCGGAGCCAGGGCCTGTCACATAGTAACTCCCTGGTATGTATTTACCGAATGGAGGGATAAATGAAATAATAAATGAACCAGTGATGGGTGTTGTGGGGTTTTTTGTTTTTTTTTGAAACACTGCTTTTATTTTATTTATTTATTTTGTTGTTGTTAATCCTCACCCGAGGATATTTTCCCATTGATATTTTAGAAAGAGTGGGAGGGAGGGGGAGAGACGGAGAGAGGGAAGCATCGATGTGAGAGAGACACTTTGCTTGGTTGCCTCCTGCACATGCCTGGTCCAGGGCTGGGAATCCAGCCTGCAACCGAGGTATATGCCCTTGACCAGAATTGAACCCTCTATCCACTGAGCCAAACCAGCCAGGGCCAAATGATGGTTTTTACGTAAACACGTGGCAAGATCAGATCCGTCTTTTGAGTGAACCTGGCATCCAGAGATGGCCTGAAGGCAGTGTGGCCCCAAGACGAGCACATTATTCTAGTCCAAGTTCAATATAGTGCGAGCGTGGCCCCAGGGGAAAGCAGAGTTCAGATCAGAAACGTATTTATTCAGAGAATGCAGGTGATGGGGGAAGAATGAGGTTAGACTTCAAGGTTTCTATCTCGGGAGATTCAGATGCTGACATCATCGTGTGGAAATGCAGAGAGGTGAGCATTTTTGGAGAAAACATATTGAGTTCATTTTTAGAAGTGTTGGTCGGGGGGGATGTTTAGAGATGGTTAGAAGTAGAGACCTGGATCTTGGAAAGATGTCAGAGTGAGAGGTATGGGTTTAAGAGTCATCTGATTTTTTATTTTTATCTTTAGAGAGAAAGAGAGAAACATCGATTTGTTTTTCTACTTATTTATGCATACAGTGGTTGGGTTT